GCTCAAAAGCATTACAGCTGCTACTGCCCCTATATGATCCAACTCTCAAGGAATAAGGTATATACGGTCAAAGTTTTAGAGGCACCACCAACCTAAATCCTAGAGGGCTGCTCTGGGACTTGAAAAAAAAACTGTCCCAAACATGTTGGAATTTTTATTTAATAATCTCTGCCCTGGTACCACTAGTGTAATCACTTTAATCTTAACACTCCTGTGTCTTAGGAGACAGAGCAGTTACTAAGGTAAAAGGTAAGCAGGCAAGCAGGAAGGTATTGGGACCACTCCTGGAACCAAGGAAAATTTGCTTTTGTTGATTTCAGAGATAAACCAGCACTTTCAGAAGAAAGTGTCAGTGCTACTATCCTGCTAATCATCTGTCAGTCTGAAATTGCTTCTGTGATGTACTAGTCTGCTCCGGACTTGTGGCAAGCACACACCACTCTGCTTATATTATTTATTATGTCAGTATCATCAGCATCTGAATATGACATTTATTGAAATGATGAAGAAATAGTCAGGACACATCTTGAATGCTTTAAAGATTCAGGGTGTTGAAATACAGACCTCCCTTGTGGAGCATCCAAGGTTTTTTTCCTTCAAAATGTGCAAGTTCCAGCAGAGCAGAGGAGTATCCATTACTGCTAATGTGGCTGGTAACTAGAAGAGAAATGGCAAGTGGACTGGAGTTGCCCACCAGCAAGACTACAACATTCAGTTATTTAATACTGAAAACTAAAAGTGAAGGTGATTTCTGACGCAGTGGTTGACAGTGGGTGCTAAGCACCATAAAGTCTAAAGCCATTACTGCCCATTTGTTTGTGCATTTTCTTCTGCTCCCACACGGCTTTGTTTATGTGTGCAGGTACACGGACAGTAATTTATATTTATATGTTTGTCTGGAATGTAGTAACCTACTGAAACGTCTATCCACTGGGCGCTAGCACAGCATAAAAATACATTTGCTTCCAATTCTGGCCCACAAATTTTTATCTGTACAAAATAGCACAAAATACTGGAAAAATTAATTTCAATATTTACAAGGATTTTATGAACCTGTACAGATAAAATGCAGTTTTAACAACAAATCACCCTCCCCATAACCAAAACTGATTTCTGGCATTTTATCTAAATAATTATATTTATTATGTATGTATATATTTAGTATGAGATTGGTAAGGGTGGGTTTAGGTTGGACATAAGGCAGAAATTCTTTATAGTGCAGGTGGTGAGACACTGGAACATGTTGCCCCAAAAAGCTGTGGCTGCCTCATACCTAGAAGTGTTCAAGGCCAGGTTGGAGAGGGCTTTCAGCAATCTGGTCAGGTGGAAGGTGTCCCTGTCCATTGCAGGGGGACTGGAACTAGATGATCTTTGAAGGTCCCTTCCAACACAAACCATTCTGTGATTCTGCAATTTTTGATGACTGGTACTATGCTACAGTAGCATTTCCAAGTTTCAAACATCAGCTGACATTTCTTAGCATCACATTGTAATATTAATTTGAAAGTATTACTTATACACTGAAATTAGATTGCTGAAAACTATTATTAACTGACATTATTTCTCACAAAAACTTCTTTCTCTTATCAGGAGAAAAAAAAAAACCTGGAAAGACAATCTGATTCTACCCTTTTGAAACCAATTACACTTATTTTCAGGTGAATCTGTTGTTATCAAATCACTATTTACACGGAAGATTCGTCATAGTCTCTTTTCCAAGCATCCACATCCCACTCCTGGCAACGGCTCCTTGCATTCGGTTGCGAACTGCGCCATCTTGTGGCAACGCAGCCGCTTTAACACACACCAGGGACGCGCTTGAGCTTCACCTCCTCACTCACTGGGCTCCACACCAAAGAAATGGGACCAAAAGCACCAGAAATAGATGGCATAGATACACTCCGTTTACCTTAGAGGGATTTTTGTATCTTAACTCAAAGAAGAAACATCAAAGTGGTGGAAGAAAAAAAAGAAAAACAAAGAAGAGCCTGGATGAATCACAACATACGTTGCCAAGAAAGCATGGAAGACTCAGTTCTTTTTGACCGCATTCAGAAAACATTTTCATGTTTAGGGTATAAGCACCTGTCACATTCAGGACACTAAATTCTGAAATCTTTCTGGCAAGGTAAGTTGGTCCACACTGTTCAAGTGTTCAAAACTGAGACCTGAGAAGCCTGGCTCCAACACAGAAGGCAGGTGTTCAGGACCGCTTCTCTCAGTAACCTTGAGAATGCAAAGGAGTGAGAGCAATAGGAAGTTAAAACACATTATTCAAACTGACGAACGGATTCTACTACTGTGCTGCTGTCCCAAACAACAACTAACAACCCCACTACATTTCCTTATTTGGCTCTCCCACATGATTTTTTTCTGATGAATCTGTAAAAAACAGTGAAAAAAATGGTAGTCTCACCTTTTTATCAGCTTTAACACTACAGAAATAGTCCTTCTTAAAAAAACTATTTAATTTCCTATCTCCTAAATGCTGACATATATTCCAGATGATTGAGAGGAATTTCATACAAATGAAAATTAAAAAAAAAACAAAACCCAACATACAATTCTGTTTTGGTGTTTTGTTTTTGGTTTTTTTTTTTCCTTTTAAAATGTTTTTCTCTTTCAACTCAGTTTCAGAATTAGCTGGAAGTCTGAGTAAGTGACCTGGCTGCATAGCATTAACTAGTATTTCTGGGGAATTTCTTAAAATGTTGTGATAAATTCTGAAACTTTGTCTCAATTTTTTTGCTGGATCCAAACATCAAAGACTATGCCCATTCTTTTTTGGAAGGTAGAACATTAATAATTCCTTTAAAACGTGATAAAAGACTTGGCATGTTGTAAGGGCAGATCTGCTGTTGCACTTGTAGCTTTTTGCCTAATTATGAGGTAGGAAAATTAATTGATCAATTCTCATTTGAGAAGACATTAAGATAAAAATTCTACTATTTAATCTCTGCCAGAACCTTCTTCAGCTAGCATCTTCAAGTCCGTGTGCTTGTGTATATTTTATTATTGAGCATGTCAAAAGAATCCTTAGGTACCTGTCCCAGAATGGATAAGTGTTTTTATTACAAGTCACAACTTCTACTAATACATAATACAGAATTATTTTGCTACACATAAGTAAATCATATTTAAATTAACAGAAATGCTAATTAAGCCATTCTGTATTTGCTTTAGTGTAAAAAATGTCTCATGCAACACCTATTTGTTTTTCAAAGGGACAGGTGAAATGCCTCAGCTGTTGAATTCAATTTAACAAGTCAGAGAATCTTTTGGGTTGGAAGATTCTAAAATCGGAGTCCAGCCATTAACCCAGCACTGCCAAGTCCGGCACTAAACCATGTCCCCAAATGCCACATCTACATGTCTTATAAATACCTCCAGAGATGGAGACTCCACCCTTCTCCGGGCAGCCTGTTCCACTGCTTGACAATCCTTTCAGTGAAGAAATTTTTCCTAATATCCAATCTAAACCTTGCCTGGCACAACCCTTTGGCCATTTCCTCTCATCCTATCACATGCTACTTTGGAAAAGAGACCGACACCCACCTTGCTACAGCATTCTTTCAGGTAATTTGAGAGTCATGTATTTTGACTGAGATGAACTACCTTAGCAATGAGAAATCTTGTCCAAGTTTACAGAGTATTCTCATGAAACAGGAGTTAAAAAGAAGCAGAGAGTGGCTTTGGAGAGTAAGTAATCACAAACACATCAGTCAAGGATGCATACTCAGTTTCTGACCTTCTCTGTCTTAGCTCATGAGGTCTATTTACTTGCTGCACCCTCCTGAATGCTGCTTGGGAAAATAACAACCCATACAGATCACTCAGAGTTGCTTATCAGCTGCAGTGACCTGCTGGCACCTTTCGTGACCTCTGAGGTTTTAAGTTTTTGCTTATGATCTACAGCAAATAAGCAGCAGAAGTAGTACTGTAGCACTTAAAAAAATCTGGCTGGGGAGGAAGAATTCAAAGTACTGAAGTCTTCTAAATTAAAAGTAAGTTTGAAGGTGTCGTGTTGTTAAAACTACTGAATTCAATTTTTTTTTTCTGCTTCCTCCTGATGAGATGAATTTTATCCTCTTTTTTCTGTAGCCCAGTTCCTACAGGACAGATGAAGGATGTGCTCTTTCTTGAAAGTATTTGACTGCTGTCCCAGGAAGGAACTTGGCAATAAACCAAAACCTTAAGCTTTTGGATGAGTGCTGTAACCACTAATCTATTTTGGAAGGCTACAATTATAGACAGGAGGTGGGCAGCACTGTCATCACCTCCTGCTTCTGATTTTAAAAAAGAAAAGTTATGACTGTATTTGGCAAAGAGTCCAATGCTATCTTTGTGCACTAGCCATATTCGGAACACGCATCCTTGATCAGGCCCCTTGAGATTTAAGGGGTGGAGAAGAGTATTCTAAAAGATTAACTTCAGCCTAATCCCTCCAGCTCTTTCTGCATTTGGGGAAAGAACCGAAAAAATTACTCCTCCAGAGGGTGATTCAGAGCAACTAAATTTAGGCACTTGCTCTGAATCACTCCCTACTTAACCTAGTGAAGCATCCTAGAGACAACTGATTCCACAGGCAAAGGTTATCCTCTGTGACTGTTCCTCTCTCAACGTCCCCTCAATTGTCAGTACCATTCTCACTAGCTTCTCAACTCCAGCATAATTTAGGTGGGAAGTTGTCACTTATCCTCAGATACCTGTGAGGCAGAGAGAGAGGCACGTCAAAGATGTCCAAATACCTGGTTAGGAACTGCCTAATGTCAGAATTTAGACTGGTAAGTCATTAAACAAATACACTGATTTTTAGAAGTTGTAATTCACCAACAGTTCCATAAATCGTTACCGACTTCAGTGAAGCTAAGATGCAAAGTTGGCACTCAAGCTGCTATTTTAGATTTAGCATTCTGGCAAATCACACCATGATTTTCCACAATTTTAAATAAATTTAAAGAAAGCTGTTTGTTGCTTTTTAAACAGAAAAAACATACTGATTATAATGGGGGAAAAAAAAGTCTTTATTACTAAATATATTTATACAACAGTTTTAAATGATAAATCAGTATGTTTTGAAGCTTTGGTAGCACTTGTCATTCTTTAAATAGCCAGACTTATCGCTTTTTCCAGGTGAATTTCCGTCTGGCTCCCTCTTGACCAGGCTTTTTTCGTTCCTTCACACGTGGGTCAACTGTTAGTAATCCAGCTACAAAGCACAGAAAAGCACCCGTTTATTTACTGTTACTAGTTAATATTACAGGTATACTTCATGTGATGCAGTAGATTCAAGGCAGCCCATAACTGACTTTCACTAACAGTATGAATTGTAACATCTAGAAGGATAAAGGTACAGTATAAAAACACACTGAAAAGACTGTCATCATATCTTCTAACATTTTAACTTTTCTTTAGTAACCAAGCTTTCTTCACATTTTTCTTTACAAACCACTAAAAGAAATAAATCTATAAAACACTGTTTTATATCTATTCATATTGCTAGATCCTTTAGAGCAGTGGTCTCCAAACTCTTTTTGATCATTTAGTCCTATCAGTAAAATATTTTCGAACATGCACTTCCAATATATTTATATTTATTCATTTGTAAATTATATGCCTTACAAAGTCTAAAATTTTTTTACTGAATCCCCATGGATCAGGTAGGGTGCACATACTCCATTTCAGAGACCACTGCTTTGGTGCTTCCAAAAGTATATTTGGCAATGTCCAAAACATGTTCAGAATTATGCTGATCTCAGTGCAGATACCAACTCATTACAATGTCTGTTTACAAGGGTATTCCTAGCAAGTCATACTTGTCAGTACTGAAAAGGTACAGTCAAGGAAACTTATTGTGAAGACAGTAGCATGAAAATAGCTTTGGTTCCATGGATGACAATAGAGTTAAAAAATATCACAGCTGTTCTGCCAGTAACACAGGTAGGTATTCTTGCTACTAGTCCAGAAAAAGTGTAGTTAAAAGCTCACTGTTAATAACTCCATATTTGCTGAAACAGCATGGCATCTTATCACAGAGAAGCATCAAATACTGCAATTATCTAAATAAATTCTATGTTATCCTACGTAAGTTGTAAACACTAAATAATGCAAGAGTGGAAAGAAGCTCCCTCAGTCTGGCTAGTTGCATGCAATGTGTTTATGCTCATTACTCTCTCTCTTCAAAACTAACCCTCCAGCACTTACATTCAAGAAGAAAACTTTTTTAAACATGAACAAGATGCAACTAGCCAAGTAAAACAAAACACAGTCTTAGTACCTTACAGCTCACTAATGCCTGATCCAGATTTATTTACTACTGAATACACATTTGTGTTTTGTGATTCTATGTTGAGGCAATATGAGCTGGTTAATAGACCTAAAAGAGGTCATGAACAGATGGAAAGACTTGAGAAGTCATCCAAAATGTACACAAAGGATGCTAGGAAACAAGTGAAAACAATCTAAAAATAAATGCAGATCCCTTTTATACAATATACAAGGTTTCATTGGGATTATTTACTAAAATCTGATCCTTAATGATCCTTGTATTAATTCTGTTAATTACCAGAAACGCATTAAGAAACACTGAAATAATTTCAATTCCTACCTTGCCTCATGAATTCCACCTCCTTTTCTGTCACAAAACTCCTTAAGGCTTTTGCACAGGCTAAACGTATTGCTCCAGCCTGTGCAGATCTTCCTCCACCCGAGACTGTGCAAACCGCATCATGTTTTCCAATTCTGCCAAGAAACTGGAAAGGGAACAACAACTGTTCCCTAAAAAAAAAAAAAAGAACAAAAATAAATAAATGCAATATATCCACATGCATAAAGTTACATGCTAGGCACATATCTTATCATAGTATATACAAAAAAAGTTAACTTTCAGGCAGAGATCCAGAAAGACATTCATATCTCATTCAAATCAATAAGAAATCAGCAGTTAGGAGCATATTCTTACTGCCAATGGCAAGTATTTTAGTTCCACTACTTATCTATAGATGCCAAGATCTGTCCACTCTGGATATTGAAACTGAACAACCTCTCCCCTCTATCCTTGAGTTCAAAAACTACAATATAAAATAAAAATCAAAATCAGATAAAGGATAGAAACCTTACATCAGCCTTATGACAAGTCTTTTCTATATCAGACTGTGCACATCCTCCAAAATCTGAAGCTTTACATGAAGTGTCTCCCCTTGTCTGCTTCCACTATGTTACTGTATGCCAGAGCAATTACACATGCATACAATTTGCAAATCTCTACATTTAAAGGTAATATTTATTATTTATTTTTAAAATAAACTGCAAGCCCTTTCTAGAGGGACTAAAATTTGAACTATTCAAACAGCCTGCGCTCTTGGTTTTTGCATCTCTTCAGAAAGTGAGAGACAACAAACAGAGCAAGGCTTACCTATCAGTTCTTAAGTTCCTGAAAATTAGAAGAAAAATGGAAGACACCTTTTCATAAAACAGATAGTTATACAGAAACAAGAACAGAGAATCAACTTCATGGAACACAACACCAGCATGTTATTGCATGGCATTACTTTCGCTGGAACAATTTAAGTACAGTAAGAATACAGCATTTCATAGTGTTCTCACCTGTCCTGCAGCACCGGGAAGTAATGCAAAATGTCTTTTCCATTCACTGTCATTTTTCCGGTCCCATTGTCATAAACTACTGCAGTAGCTCTTGCAGTTTTTCTTCTACCTTAAAGGAATTAAACCCAGACTATTATGAGGCTTCAATATTCTACAGAACTTCAACTGATTAAGTAGTCAGCAAACCACAACACTTTCATACAGTGTCAGTTGTTTGTTTTTGTAGGCTGAGGTAAGAAAAAAAAGCAAACAAAGAACAACTATCTTTCAATATATTTTAACCAATGTTTATTAAGTGGGGGAAAAGTGTGTGTTGGGAGGAAGTAGAGGTAATGCTCTACCTCCCATAACTTCAGTGGTTCAGGACACTTTCTTGACCTGGTGATGCCACGGTAGATGAAAATACAGAGTTTGTTGAACTACTACATTTACCATTAAGTGCAATTTCTAGTAATATTAAAATACTTTATAAAATCATAAAAATGTACAGAAGTTCAAGAATATTCACTTGGTAGAGATTAACACTTTAATTACACTGGTATAAGCAATAATATGCAGCATTAATACAGTTCCTCAGAAATTGCTACTTACTGTTACTTCTCTTTAAGTGCAATAGTTTCAAGCTAAAACATGACAAACTCTCTGTGTTGAAGTCTGAGACCAAATTCCTTTAGCTCACAGGAAGCAATCATTCTGATAAACGAATTATGAAACAAACGACATTTTTCTTCATGTTGGGGCTTATGGGATACAAATGACTGGTTTTGAACTTATTACACCTGGTGGCTTTTCTTAAATAACATGGATCGCATGCTTATCAAATTTCAGTTACTGTTCTGAAGATACTACTGAACACCAGTGTGAATTAAACCACAGTTTGGTGATCTCACATCTCTTTGTTGTCATGTAATCTTGAAGACAAGCCAGCTAGAGCAAAACTCTCTTGCCATTTTGCTCCTCAGTTCTCTGTGACCTTTGTTCTTAGTATCATCTGCTGCCTGCTGCTTAAGAATACGTGTCATCTCTAAGATTCCTCTTAAATGTACAGCATAAAGTGAGTGTGCACACATGCTTTGCCCAGAAAGTCATCAGTCTTTCCTATACATGCTGTTGCTATATAATTTTTCTATGCAATCACTCATATATCACATCCTTCTTCAACTATATGTCCCTCCACTGAAAGCATAAGCAGACTGTGTTTAGAAGACATGGAGGTCTTCATGGCTTTTCTCTAATATCCCCTCCATCTCAGTACCAATGACCAACATCCATCTCTGTCCCACAATGTTTAGGAATTCCCTCTTTGCCTTTTCCTATGCTGTTTGTAAATATTCAAATGACTTGTTATTCATTCTTTGCATCTTCAAAATTCTCCATTCAGTGGTCCAAGCACGCCATTTTTATACTAAGCAACAACACTGTTGCATCCATGGAACTCTTCGTATGTGTTTGTGCTCCCTCTGTCCTCCGCCCTCTATGTTCAACAGTCAACTCCTGCCAAAAATGAAAGTCTTTTTGTATCCTACACCATGTATCACAACAGAGTCCTCTCTACACAGCTACCACTGTACAGAAATAGTGGTAAAACCAGTTGACAGAATCTGGGTTAAAAAGTTCCACTTTGTTACTAGACCATGTCATAACATGGTATGCCATAACATCATTAACAACTATACATGCAGTATACACATAACCATATAAAATGAAGTAGTGACTCTTTCAGCAATATTGTACATACTAGAAAAAAAGCAACACGAAGAGGAAAAAAATTCTGCATTGTTACCAGTAAACTTGAAATTATTACCTTCACCGGTGCTGAAGGCCACTCCTTGCTCATCATACTGCAAGGGCTCAATAACTACCTTTTGCATCTGCACAGGAAGTTCTTTGGAAAACTTCTGTATATACTTCTCCTCGATGTCACTACACGGCAAATCCGTCAATTTTTGTAAGAGTTGAATAAATCTCGAATACTGTAGGACAACAAGACTTCATTAAAGGATGCAAATGTAATTGCATTTGCTAAAACTTTCAATTTTTATATAATGGATCTTTCCTACTTCACTTTTATTGATGATTTCTGACAAGATGACACTTTTGCACCTACATACTGATTTAAGAACAGCATGCAGTTGCATCATTTTCTGTGTAACTAAAGACACCTAGCTCTTTCTTCAGGTAAAAGTGAAACTTTAATTGAAAGCATAACCAACACCTCTGTAATAAAGGATTTTGTATTAGAATTAAGTTCATCTGACTTTTAAAAAGAAAACATTGGGGGAGTCAATTATTTTATTATTGTTTTATTAAAATGGCAAAATGAAAAGTTCTTCACCTGATTTTCAGTAAGTCAGCATATTCACTGACTTGGAAATAATTTTATTTCACTAAACTGAACCTCATAAATGATTATATTTCATAACATATATAGAAAATGCCTATCTATCTATCTTTGGCTGCTCAAGCTGAGTTACTGTAATGTTTATGATTTCCTTTAAAACTGAACAATCAAGCTATTTAAAAATTCAAGAGATACTTGACTTAAAGGGCAACCTCTTGAAATAAATTATCTTTTGCTACTGTGTGGTTCTCCTTCCCCCTTACACCTTCCTCCAAAGTTCTTCAACGTGCGATTAAAAGAGTACACACCTCTGTGTTAACCCATTTGTGCTAAAAGCTGGGATGTCCTGTTATGAAGTGTTACTGGCAGGAGCACCAGACAGCTGTCACCGGATATAAAGGTATGATACCATCTAAAATGGATTTTTCATATAGATATCATAACCTGATTTTTGAACGTTTTTCTACTTACAAGTGATTATTAAAAGTATTTTTTCTTCCTCTGTTACCAGAGTCTCCTGCACAAAATTACTACTTTTCTTGTAACTTAACAATAGGCCTTGGAACTCTGACATCTCTTGAAAACTACTTCTGTCTAACTATATAATACAGATGTGGTAAAGTCTTTGGAGAGTGAAAAGAAAAAAAAAATCAATAGCTCTGATTTTCATAATGCAAACACCACAGAAAATTTCAATGCAGTGGCAAAATATACGAATTTGAGCAGGTAAGACTGGTAACTTATACTGAGACCTTTCAAATACATTTAAGCAATCTTTGTTCCAATTGCCTGAGGCTTTGTGGTTTTACATATGAGAGGCCAGTATGTAAAAAGGTTTGATACTGGTTTTTGGTTGGTTGGTTGAGTTTTTTTTAAGTTAACTGCAATCTACTTTTACAGATGTAGAATGTACTAAAAGAAAGTAACAAAGAACACCAAACTGTTTAGTTGTACAACTAGACCTGGCACTCTGAGAGGAAAAACAGCCAGGAGCTACTGAAAACAATGAAGTCATAATGGCTTCTACTGTGAGCAAGATAGAGAAAGACTCCTGGGTATTACCAGGATGGATAATTTACAACAGTTACTTCAAACTTATGCTTATGGACCACAATCTGCTTGAGACCTTTTCACATCCCCCACAGGCAAGGAAGCCATCACATGCTACTGTTCCAGATGACAAGTGAGCAAAGGGCTCGTTTGCTGCTGTTATGCTATTTTTGCAATGAAGCTGTCCACGGGACAGAAGAGATTGAGGAACAGTACTTCTAGGTGAGAAGACACTTTGGATGTTCACACAAATAGAGTTATATTCTCTGGTACTGTCATATTCCAAAAGAAAACTAAGCTGGCCACATAGACTGAACCTGCTGTTACAAAATCTGACGCTCCTCAAGGGACTGTAGGGAAAAGCTCTGAATGAGAAAAAGGTGTATGACTATTAGGATGAATAGTCTTATTCACAGAGATAGATGCAAAAAAGGACTCCAAACTTAGAGAATGATAGAGTTTGCAGGGGAAACTGCAAAACCCTCCTTTCTCCCACCATATTCATAACAATGAAGAGATATCTATATCAAACCACAGATCTATACAGTTTCGTATCTTGTTCCTGATTTGATTCTGTAGCCAATCACTAAGAAAAAGGACTTCCCATCTTGAATAATTACCCCTTCTCTACAATAAGTGACAGAAGCTCTAGCCCTGTCCATTTTTCATCTGTAACTACAATAAATGACTAATTATTTCTACTAAAGTGTCACTATACCCCATTCCTGACTAAATAATTAGATGACAAGGAACAGGTGCTTTAGGCCTCACAGTGTTACCACCAGGAGAAAAACTAAATTATGTTAGTAACAATGGAAAGCTCTTAATAGTTCTGTACTGTGCTGGATAAAAAAAAAACAACACAGGTCACTTTAGGCCAACCTGAATGCGACAGTGCTATGAACATATGCAGAGTTTATCAGAATTTAGCAAAGTCTTTTGAAGCGCACCTGCTTCTACATGGTACCTTTTCAGTATCCAAAAATGCACCCAGAGTCCGTATTTTTAAGACACAAGGCTCCTTAAGATTAGAAAGATTAATTACTTACATCATCATCTGACAGTTTTTCTAACAACATTTCTTCCAATTCAATCTTAGTCAGCCATCTGCTGCCAGCCAGGTTTCTGTTTAAAATACCACATATATATGCTCCCTTTAATTAACCATGCAATTAGAGTTACATCACAAAAGACCACACATACAGTCAGTCTTCGTTCAGAAATACATTTTCCATTACAAATGATTATGGCTCACATTCCTATAGTAAACATGAGAAGGCCTACGTTGATTTTAAAAGATCTGCCTTTTCAAAGGGATGGTAACTTCATCTATTGAATTAACGACATGAACATTATGAGTATCAGTTATGCATTATTCATATGATTGAAGTCTGAGAATGAGCTAGAGTAATATTGTAATAGTAAGTGATCTTCCCCACAACTCAGTACTTACTTTTAAAAGCCTGCTGCCAGGAAAAATTTGGTTCACCAGCAGCAAAGAACAAAATCAAAGGCAGAATGTTAAAATCAAATTCTTTTGCCTCTGGTCTTTACTTTTCTGATCAATACAAAGAACTGCACTAGCAGTAAGCATAGTCAAAGTACTAATGCAGCAATGACACCCTTTATTCTATCTACTGTGCAATCTTGAGCTGCTCAGCACAGAAACTGCACTGATGATAACAAAAGCAGAAACTACTCAGAAAACAGCCTCATACAGAAATGCTAACAAAACTTGAAATAAATCTTTGAAATAGATATGATATGAAGTGACCAACTACACAGAATGCCACCTCAAATATACACACCAACATTATCAGAGAGATTTAAGGCAAAGATGTAACCAGTTTCTTACCTCTTCAGGTAAAAAACATTTTTAGAAACAATGTTTTCAGTAGCATTAAGGAAGCTATGATTCAGTAAAACACTCCTTCTGAGGGGATTTTAAGTAGTACTACTTCTTAAGCATGTATTTTAATGCTTTTCTGAGTCAGGACATGAGAGATGTTTATTAGAAACAATGCTGATTTTAACAGTAATTTTAAAAACTTTCCAATCCTGACTGACTCAAGTATATACTTATATTTATATATCGCTACTTGCTACTTCCAATGAAGTCAATGAAATACTCATGTGAAAAACTATAAACCTGAAATAGTTCAAGATTAGGTCCTAACCCTACAGTTAATATTACAAAATACATCTAAAACAGATTATTTTCTGAGGAAAAACCAAAGCAAAAGCAACAACAATAAAAAAAAAAATCAAAACCCCAGCCCTTCCCACTGACCCTCTACCTACACTTTACTAATCTCAGAGGAAAAACCATATCCAATGTGTAAGATAAGTCTCAAAAATCCTTTAAATTCTCTGAGGTTTTAAAAACCTAACACAAAAAAAACCCTTTCATCTCTGACTAGCTTTAGGTCATTTTTCACATCAGTAAATCCACTGGCTGAGCTCTGTAAGGAGTCAGGTTATTTTTCAGCAGCACACACCAAGAAACTACATTCATTTGTTCTCTTGTCTGCTCAGAAGCTAACATGAATCTCTGATAAAACATTTTGTGGGTCACAGGACACTATTTACATCATGAAGAAACATGAACTTCTGTTATTTAAGAAATTGAAATTATCTCAGCAAATTAATCCTTTCTCTTCCTAACATAAATAACAAATGGTTGAAATTAAGAAGTGACAAACCAACATGATGTGCAACTGGAGCTGTGCATAAATCTAGCTAGAAAAACCATGGCAAGAACAGATAAAAACAACTTGGGACAGTGAAAAAAGTAACCATACAGAAAAGCAGTAAATACCAAAATCAAAACTTCCTTGCTGTATTTATTTCTTTTAAAGACTTGTTTAATTTACCATTCTAGTATAAAATCCTTGCAAGAAATCTCAAAACAGAAAATCAAGAATACAGCCTAAGAGGAAAAACAGTTCTTAAAGCATATACTCATTTCAAAGACAAACCTGACTGCATGTACTAAGAAATTAACACCTCTAGACCTCCCCTAGCTTGCTCTAGTTGAGTTGGATCTTTTCTGTCCAGTGGCTAACTAGCTGAAGAGCTTGTTGTGCATACCAGAGAAGTTACACAGACAAAAAGAAACAAAACTAAACTCAATTACTAATACTGGTGATAATTAAATAAATCCAACAAAATAAGCTTTTCTGAAATTACTAGTTTCTGATGACTTATCTTTTCAAAGCCATTAGAAGAAAAACTGTGACATTAAGTATTATGATACTCTTCAACTTAAATATTGGTAAAATATTCAAGAAATGTAATTAAAGACTATTGAAGAGCTCAGCTTTAGGGCTTAGGATTTTTTCATCAGAAAAAACTTATTTGGTATTTTAAAAGCCCTTGTTTTCTCATAAAAACTTTAGCTCCTTTTTCAAAATCCTTAGAAATAATTTGAAAAAAAATTGCATACAGAAGCAGAATTCTGGATATTTTCAAATCACATTTCAGAAACTTTAAAAAGGGAAGAATATTGAAAAGAGCAGGGAGAGATTAAAGAATAAGAGAAATAGGTGGGGGTTCCCTACTCTAGCAATGAGAAGTGAGTGCTCCACACATACCTGGCAAGACTTTTCAACCCGAAATTACCACACAAAATATTACGCAGAGCTAAAGTCTGAAAATGGGTTTGTGGAATAAAAGGCAGGTAAGTTGGGGAAACTACAAGAAATGTTAATACAACATATTAAAGCACATTAAGATAATTACTATCAATATTCATTCTAACTGTAGGATTACCTTTTTTCCTTCTGAAGAGGAAGGTCTTGAGCTATCAGCTGGTCTTGGTATTTCTCAACATTCAGCAATTTTTCATATGTTTCCTTAAGTGTATATGGAAAAAGTATTTAAATGTAATTTTTCCACTTAATACTAAAATTTTGTTATTTAAAACACATGTTTACGTGGTTTTACTCTCCAAACACTTCAAATACAGAGGTCAGAAAACAAGCAGAGCTCTGACCAAAACAGAAAAAAAAAAAGGAAAATATGCAGTTCAAAGTAATTAATTTTGAATTTTGCAAGAGTGTTTTTTGCCTTCTTACATATGCTTGCAAGAAAAAAAATAAAAAAGGTTCTCAACTGTATACAGAAAGGCAACTACGTTTGTATAACAGATGCAACTCCAAAACATACTGCACAATAATTTCATCAGTGCATCCACATTTTAGTATGACTTACTCAAAATACTGACAAGATTTAAGACCTTAATTAATTTAATTTATTTAAGATTTTTGTACATTTAGAGTGTCAGCTTTACTGGTGGTCTGTATTAGTCATAGCTCCTGGCATCCCTGGCATGTCCATAGGGACACAAAGTTGCACATTTATCACAGAATTTATCACAGAATTTCTGTTCTTTCAAATGTACAGATATACTTATCCTGAATTTCTATATTTTTAAGCAGTTTGCTCAAGATTCTTAGCTATGTTATTATTTTCAAACAATACTGTGACAGCAATTTATAACTTCAGGGGAAAAACAAAACCAAAACCAAAACAAAACAAAGAAAATATCCCAAAAAGTCACAGTAAAAGGATTACAGAAGAAACATGTTTTACATAAAGTATTTTCAGGGTTTTTTTTTTCAGTATAACATCTAAAACTCTGAATTAGAACAATGATTCAAATCCCAAGTTCAATAGAAGTACTTGGAGAAATAATTATAAATTATATTGAAGCAATAAGGTGGTTGTACTACAGTTGAGTACTTATATACCAAAGAATTTACTTCATTTTATAAGTGAAAATAGAAAGCTTATAGCCGCTTTCCTATACTGCATTAATATGAGTCTTAGCAAATACCAGAGAGAAACTAGTGTAAGAATTGGTGGGGACAAGGAACAATGGTTGGGTTTTTTTTTTCTTTGTATTATTTAGAACGAAACAGTAAAAGAAGAAATGTGAGACAGCTCTGTATTGTCAGGAATTAACTAACAAAATACTAATTCTTAACATAATACTGGGATTTGCAACAGGATGCAGTGAAATTTCTGCAGCAGCTTAAAAAAAACCCACTCAAAATAGAAGCCCTTTGCTTAGCTATAAATTTCTATTGTTCAAGCTGATTCGTTACTATAGAATACACCTGCACATACACTCAAAATATTTGTACTTAAAGTGTATGAACAAATAACAGATTGTTATCTGAGCTGCACTGAAAGCACTTAAATAGAGACAATTCACTGAAGTTTTTGATGCAGGTCACTGGTGACATTTTTAATTACAAGTATTTTTTAAATAATTCCACGGTCAGAAATCTTGAAGTACAAAATCCACTTTTGAAACAGCATGAGAACTCATATATTATAGTAGGATGTCTTTCAGAAACCCTTTATTTTCCATGAGATAATATCAGATAGGAAAAATTTTCAACTTTAAAAAAGTCTTCTTATCCTCAAATGCAGGAAACACCACATAAAAGAGCACAAATCATATTTTCAATACTTCCAAACCTCACAAATATAACTGTAGTTCTCAAAGATAACAAGATATGGTATCACTACTGTGGGCAAGATTTATGTCACTAACAACCAGAGCTGACTATTAGGCTGCAAAAATTATTGCCTACACATGGCACAGACATGGTTTGTGTTAGAGGGCATGAGGTGTGTCTGCACCAAGCAATTTTTAGGCATCTGTAGTTGAGATATGGAAAAGAATGACTTCTGCTTGGGACTGTAAAGGAAGGGAAGAAAAGGGGAAGGACAGCTGTGTCTGCCCCTCAGCTATCTGGGGAGAGTTCAGCTGGAACAGTCTTAGAGATTCATTCCTGTGAGCTCCATGCATTTCCACATTTAGAAGAAGTCAAACCAGGCATGAAGATGACGTTTTGGTGTCAGAAGAGGTACTGGGGTACTAGGTCTTATAAATGTGTAAGGAGGTTTTTCACTTTACTGTTAGCCTCCTGGCTTACCTCTTACCCTCTATAAGGCAAAGGGTGTCACCATCCTACCTGGCACAAGCAGTTTCCTGTCTGCCTCCTCACAAACACTCATCTCCAACACATTCTGGCATATAGATTGATGTACTGGAATGGTCAGCAAAAAACTAAAATGTGATTACATCACAGTTCTTTAAAAGAGGACACAGGGAGGTAATCACAGTTACCATCTTAGGACAGAATAACTACAGTCAGAATTGCTTCCAAACAGCAAGTGAAGTACTTTCAGGTAACATGACTCAAGTTAAAAGAAGACTTAAAGATTTTGTCATATTTGGAAACTACTGATAAACACAGGCAAATAAAACGAGATATGGGTTGCCAGCAACTACTTTTTAGCCTCAGAAATTCATAGTTACAATGACAAATAAACCTTTACAACAGTTGGAACAGTAAGATTTTCCTGAAGACCCTCCCTAGGTTCCCAAAGAACACTGACACTCCATAGCACATTTAAGTTCTTAAGAATGTGCAATTTTAAGAATTAAAATGATCTCTTTAAACTGTTCTGGTTAAATTACAGCAATCATGTCTATTCAGACAAAGAACCCTTTACACAGGAGAAGAAGTCAAACAACATTAAAAAGCAGCATTTTAAAATAATTCCAAGTGTAAGAGAAACACTAAATATAATTTCCTACATATTTCTGGCAATGAAAGTGGACTTGCATCTCTTATGAAATAAAATTTTGGTCTGAAGTACTAAAAAAAAAAATAAAATTAATGCATGTATCTAATCTCTGTATAGAGATGAAGCCAATAGACTGAAAGAACCACTCACGTGTGAAGTAAAGTATGTGGATGAGCCTTTGCAAAATCAGGAATCACATGTAATGCCCAATAATTTATCTGACAAATCTTCACTCCCCAACATCTAAAGAAAGCTTCTGGAGACACACTTGCTTTTTCAAAGCTGGCAGGTGAAGATTTTACTAATCACTTGAGGATTCAATAGTCCAATTCATGACTGTACACATCTGTGTGTCTTGTAAACTCAGCTATTACACAATCAAAATAGCTGATTTTACAAGATTGGCTATGTACTGAAACGCTTCCATTTCTAATAGAGAGATCAAATTTCAGATCTCTTCAAGGACACTCTCTTGTTAAATAATAAACAATTATTTTACTCCGCATAAAAAAATAGAGAAGAAATTAGCAAATGAAACCTTGGAGGGAGAGATTTTTATGGGGGAAAAGGATTATATTAATATTTTGATTAAAATATGCTGCAAAGCCCACATTTTACCTCAGTTTGCACTTTTGTTTCTTCTGTTTTTAAGTTCAGCACATACTTTAACAGCTTTTAGGTTTTGGTTTACTTAAGAGTTAAAATGTTCAATTTTTAAGCATTTATTTCAATCCACAACCACTGATATGTCTCAAAAAGTACAAAAAGCATGATTACATGGAATTACTATTTTGCTATACACAATTGTATGAAAAGACCATTTTGTCTTCTTCTGCACATTACGAAAACATATTACTCTAAAAAACTTTTAAGTTAAATGATGATCAAGTATACTATCAAATGTTTGTGAAATGGTGTTTCATCCAACAAACATTCTTCTGTGTATTAGAAGAAAAATAAATTGTTCTTTTCCCCACAGTTAAACTTTGTTCAACAAGTGGAACAAAGACAATAATGCATATAACAAATATCCCATATGAAAGTTCATTTCATATTGAAGGCATAACAACATGTATATTGGCAGTTATAATACATACAAATATATAGTTTATTTTCAGTAAAGTGGATAGTATTTTATTAGCATTAACTAAACAATAATACTATGACTAATAATTAATAAAATTCAAGTTTCAAGGGGGTGTATGTAGTAATTAATGGCATACAAGTTTAAGCTAAGTATTACATTCATCTGGTTTATTAGATTTAATATAGCAATTTAAAGGACATCCTCCAATGGGACTGATTACTTACACTAGGCTGTATTAACATACAACTCTTTTTCCTAGCCAAATTAATTAGCTTTGAGACTTAAAAATACATTTTGTTAAATACACATTATTCTAATAATGTTGGGAATTTCATGCAGATTTTGGTTTTTGTTTGGCCAACTAAAAAAACCCTGTTAAACCTCACTTAATGGATTTAGGTTTATAGAAGTCTGTTTAATGAAAATATTCTGAAACAGTTGAAGAACATTCAAGTATCGTATACTAATGAAAAATGCATTTGTCAAGCTCATTTGTTTGAAAGTGGTTGCCACACTCTTAGAAACAAAATGCAAACTATACTTCCAGAGACTTCCAAGGCAAGCTTACATACTCTTTCTAACTGCTAGGAAGAGCTAAAAATAAACTTGTGCTCCTTGTAAAATTTGTAATTTCTTCATTATGATGGAATGCAACAAACATCTTGCCCTTGGGTTGCTCTGTTTCAGCCAAAACAAATGCAAATGGCTTGTCAGATGACAGCTGTTTGATAAGGCTCCTCTACAAGACCTGCATGCTTTACTTTTTTCCGTGAAACTTGGGATGAAAGGCAGAAGGCAGGAAGAGAATTAATGTAGCATACAGTCTAAAGGCAATGCTACAACCGTGATTAAGTAGAAAAGTTAAAAGGCACAGATTTTCCACAGCCTTGCTGCGTGCAACCCATCCGTGTAACAAGTTGACAGGCCTAGCGCGTCAGCTCCATCATCCTCTCCGACAGCTAAAACGCAGCATTGCATCCCTTTTCAGAGAAAATTTGCGTCTGCACCATGAAGCGTTGTACATTATTTCTTAGCACTGCAGGGGGCTCAAGTCCATATGGAACCTTCACAAATATTACCACAGATCAAACCAGCGGCGTTTCGAGGCAGATTTGACATACCTATTTAAATGAACAGCAGGGGTCCTCGGGCTGCCTCGGGCTGTGCAGGAGAAAACCTCTGTGGAAAGCCTATGCTGCAGCTCCATTACTCAGCAAAGACACACTCTACATTTATCATTCATTTCATTTCTGCCAGGGCAAGAAGCTCATTTGCCCAAGGTCAACAACAAAAAAAAAAAAAAAGAAAAAAAAAAAAAGAGGGGGAAGTGTTTTTTATTTTTTATTCTCCCAAAGAAACAAATGTACCTGACAAGTGGGGATTTTGTCCTTCGAGTACACAGAACGCAAATAAGTATCAGATAATTCTAATAAAAGCACTACACTCAGTAAAGCTGTGAACCTAATGTGAGAACAGGAAGTTTGTTTTTTTGACAACTGACTAACCACAGAACTAACTTTTTAAGACTATCTAACAAGGAAACAAAATCTGACATGAATTTCCAATTAAATATATCTGCATGCATTATTAATGCTTTTGTCTTCTGTAAGTATGTGTAAGAAACGTGAATGTCTTTCTATAAACTCTCCTAAAGACGCAGATAATGCTTGTGCCACTGATGGTCACAGATATGAAACAATTGTTCATAACCCATGTTAAGACTCAGGGTCTAGTGATGTTCTATTAGATACAGTTTTTTTCATAAAGGTAAAAGATGCAGATCCTTTACTCCTGGAACCATGCTAATCAGAAAAAGCCTTAAGTTTGCATGAATGGAACCATCTTAGAAAAATCAATTAAGCAGTTTAAATGCAAATTTTCTTCACACTAAATGTCAGCACAAATAACATTTCCTATAGTTTTGCCCTTCAAGGAAAGAAAATCCTATTTTTTATTCTACAATGAACTTTGCTAGAACTAGCCATTTTTATTGTATATACATTCTTCACTACTAAGCTTATGCTACCAACCAGATAGAGCCTACGAGAAAGTGTTCAGACTATTCAAACCCAGTCCATCGCCAAAACTGTAAAATAAACCAAAAATTAAAGCAAGAACTATTATGCGGTGTGTCCTCTTAAATGTGACATAAAAATGCTCATAATAATGGATATTGTGACACAAAAATATACATTGCATTTAACTTCAGTGGTGATATTATGACCTACTGTGAAAACATAACTAAACTCAGAAGCTCCTGACAGGCATTTCTAGAATAACATATACTTGACTGGGAACTGACATTATTTATTACAGATAACATACTTACATGCATTAATGAATAATATGACTGCTTGCCAGTATAAAAGAGAAAGTGAAATGGTCGGCCATCTTCTCCCCACTGTATTTCTAATGGAAAGCAAGATTAGACAAGGAAGCAACACACAATCACTTAAAAAAAATCCCTTATATTTAACTGCAGCTATAAACCTCTTTCATAATACTGATTACCTTTTTAAATATCAGAGAACAAAGACATTTTACGGGTTTTCAATCTGTCTGAAAATCTAATGATTTAGTCAAACTAATCTCCATCTGTAATTATAACCAAATATTTAACATAACATTTCTAAATATCGTTTTACACAAGGGAATATCTCATGTACAGCTTAAACTTTCAGAGACTGTATAGGTGGTATTACAGATAGAAGTATACATTTTAGAGTAGAAAGAAGTACACAGGAGAGATAACTGAAATCTACATAATAATTGTGAAAGATGAAAGATTAGCAGTTCTGAAAAGAGCAAGTTTTTTATTAGCATAATATGTCTAAGCTAAACTAAGTATAATTGTCTTTTGTGGGCGACCACCATATGCAGAACTTGGGTGATTTTAGAACTTGCTTATGTTATTTGGGATATTTATATTTGGGATATTTAAATACAAACACCTATGCTATAGTTTACCTAATTAGATTCAGAAAGAAAACAAACATTCCATATAATTCAGCACATCCACTTGCATTCATTACAAACTGTTATTTAAGGACAAATAAATTTCAACTTAGGAGGAAAAAAAAAAATAATCAAACTTACATTACATAACAAAGATCTCTTCCAAATAAAGAAAAACGACAAAAATAAAACCTTTTTACAAATTGAACTGTAGAGAAACTCCCAGTCATTTTATCCAGTGAAGTTCAAATGAAGCCAGCTATAAGCTATAGGCAAAGGTAAGACTCTAAGAACCTGTCTGATAAGCCCGATATGTATTGGATTGGAACGTTAAGATATAATACAGCAGAAGTTGAATGTAAAGATGCTAAACTTACTAGAACAGAAGGAATACAGGGAACTTTTACCCACATATACTGCTAGTGAACTGTGTGAATTTCCATGTATGCAACTGTGAAAGCATATTTTGTTGAAATTATTGTTCAGGGAACATTTTGAAGTATAAATTTCAGTTTATAGCTCAGTGAATATGGAATTTCCTACCTGTGCTACTAGTTATTACCTAATGCTAAAAGTGGACAACAGGTTTTGACATTATCTTTTAAATGTTTTATGTAAAAATAATTTGTCAATTTTAGTGAACTGACCAACATACTGGCATATCACTGACAACTGGTACTTCATACAGTGTCTCTGGAGCAAGACCAAAGACAGTATGGACAGAAATGCAGAGTTAGGACTTTCAGGTCAAAGGCCTGATTGGGAGTTTCCACTCTCCCTATTCTCTCAACTAGCAATTTTAAAGCTGCATTTCTAATCTTTTAGAGCAACAAAGTTACTAGGAAAACTTTTAGTTTAAAATAGTATTAATGAAGTTTAAAATAGTATTAATGAATATTTTATGGATGTGATAGACAGCTCTGACAAAAAGCTACTGAATCCAAGAAAAGGTTTTCCCATGACTTCAACATCATCCTAGTTATTGTTTATTTTTAAACAATGAAAACCATTTATCTTAGTCAGTTAACACAATTTCTGAGAAGACCACTGGTATTCCAGAATCCAGCAATAATTTTTATCCTAAAACACAGAATATTAGATTAGACTTTTACTGCTCTTGTCTTGGCAGTCATTAGAAAACAGGGAAAAGAATAAATCCATAAAAATAAGAAATTCTATATATACAACAATTCTAATACTTAGAAATAATAAAAAAAAAAATACCTAGGAACACTTACTTCTCTGCTCTGGAAAAATTTCCCTAGGATGCTGTCAATAAATAAATAAAAAAATATCAGCAAAAGTAAAACATTACTCAAAATATCATGTTACTGTTATTCAGAAAAGCAACAAAAAAATCCTACCTTCATCATGGGTCTGGCTTGTTCATCGAATAAGCCAGAAGGAAAGAGATAGGCAATAGCTCTCTGAAAATAAGAAGAGAGATCTATTATGTGATTTTTTTTTCTCCACAAAATCATCATCAAAACATTTCTTAGGTACTTATGAAGAAAAAATAGTGTTAACTTTGTACAGTTAAAGCTAAAGGTAACCAAATCAGTAAGAAATAATGCCACATATGTGCCGTGCTGAAAAGAAAAGTAGATAATTTCCTCTGGAACCCTCATAAAAGTAAAACCTCATTCTGAAGGCTGTACTCTACTGCATCAGAATGAGTAAACTTTCTTCTGCAAAGTTTAGTTTTTATAGAATGCATTTATCATAACTTATCAGCACTACTCAAGTGCAAAGACCACCTTTATACACAGTTATTTTCCTCTAAAATATCAAATGCTGTGACTCCTAGAGGAAGTTGCAACATTTATCTATTAATCTTTCTGAAAATACCAGTGCTTGTTAACAGTGCCTACTGACAGACCAAGCATAGAAGTTTTATTTAAAGCAAGAGGAAAAAGCCAAATTTTACACATTTAAAATCCCAGTTTCTACAGTTTCCAGACATACTTTCCTTAAGTCTAAAAAACTGTGTTTGCTGTGGCAGTAGAAGACATTTCACATAGCCTAAATAAGCATTTCATTGATCACTGCATTTGGAAACAACTGTGAATCACTAAAAGAAGAAAGACTCTTAAACGACATCTTTCTTTTCCTTAGATACCTAAAGGTTTGCTAAAATAATTTAGAAAAATGTATGACATTCATTACATGCTCATTGTTTACCATTGTTTTCGCTGTGTACAAGGTATATACTTTGCTTTTACTAAACCAACATTTACCACTATTTATGTGATGTATAAAATGAACGTTATTTGCCTCCAGCAAATAAAGTTAGCATACCAATAATACAAATCAGTCTTGCAAAATGTAGGGCAAAGCACCTTACAAGGTTAAGCCCAACGACACACATTTCTGTTCAACATAATCTTACTCTCCCTCTTCAGTATAACTAAACCAGAATTTAATAACGCAAAAATATGCACTTCTGAGAGCTGTTTATTTTCATTTGTTTTTAAAAACTAGCCATCAAAAAACCCCAGATGTAGGGGTATGGCAAGTGTAGCCAACTTCAGACAGTGGGTAGTACAGCTTCAGATAGAAATCTTGTGCTTGTTCAGTAAAATGGACTAACCAAATAAACCCCTCTGGCAGTGGTCTCATTTATATTTCCATTAAACAGTACAGAAAAGTAGAATTACAATAAAATCTGAGTTTAAAATCTTCTCTCAAGAAGAATGGTTCTTTGTTAGTTAGGCTACCTTAGGGCTATTACTTCCTGACAATTTTTTCCATTGACTTGGAGTGGTTTGTCAGTGCTTCAACTAATTTAATATGCATGGAGTGTAAAAAGACCTAACCTATTACTTTCATTAATCCCCTACTGGCATTCTGAACAGAAATTTTGAGAATTCTGAAGCAAACAAAAGGCTTAACTTGATTTTATAAAATGGTGATTTTGTTTCTCTTCGTGACTACTGTATTCCCATTTGTTAGTCAATGGGCATTTTATGTATACACACAGTAGGTGAACACCTATTTACGAACAAATGGGGATTAATTATGATGACAATAGAGAAATCTGCTGTGAGCCAAATGATGTTAAACAAACACCTTATATAATATATTAAAAGAAATTATTACAGGATACTGAGACTGACTGTGTGTGTGTACTTAAGACGTAATCTTTATATAAGCATTTCCAGAATCTCAGTCAAAACAGTTACTGTAACTATGACACCTCAATAAATGCCAAATATAACGATTTGACATCTATAATGAAGAAAGTGGCTGCCATCTAAGACCTTCTACTTCTAGAAAGTTTATTTTATATTTGTTTTATTTTATCTACTTTATATTATCTACTTTATATATATCTATTTTATATTTATTTTATCTACTTCTGGAAAGTTTATTTTATTATTTTATTTTATTATTTTATATGTATATACTCATGTCTTTCACACTAGAGGCATAAGCACACCCTGCATTAAGAAATCCTAAAATCTACTTTCAGCTCTACACAAAACAATTAACCAAAGAATAATAGTTCATTTTATAAATTTGTTTTTTGTTTTTCCAAAATGGAAAGAAATAGAGTCTTCCTGCCTTTTCCCTTTTATGGAAATATAATCAAGGATCCTGGGATGCAACAGACTCCAATTCCACTTTACTCGGAAGCTTCTTCTTAATTTTACATAGCTGGCTCCTCAGACTGTATTTTTAGCACCTACATAGCAAGTCAGGCTGCCTCCTGGGAACTTTACCTACTGAAGCTGATTTTATCTATGTAAATGTTTCAGTTTTGTAGAAAAGTATTAAAAAAAACCCCTGTAATTCTTAACACCCATGTGTACTAGCAATAAAAAAAGATGGTGGATCAGTCTTAGGAATTACATCAGAATTAGTCTCTCCAAACTGCAGCTGAAGCATATAACCATGAAATTATTTCCCTGAAATCTTTTGACAGTGTCTTCAGATTTGGAACTCAGCTTTCCTTCCAAGGAATCTTCATGTCACAAACCAAAATTCCGCAGAGAATTAGCCGTACATTCTGCATTTTCCTGAACACAAAAAGCAGGTGAATGTCCCTCTTAAAACTTTATAATCAAAGTGTAAATGCTAGCAGTAAAGGTCCCAAGAAACCTTTTAGATTTAACTGTAGTTTTCCATTCCAGAAGTGGTTTTCAGCTTAAGGGTCCTGGCCCATATCCTTCTTTCTAGGGGTTATATAGACTTGAACTCTAGATTAAAGAAACTCTTGTGCTGAATATGATGACCAAGAACTACTTTCTTCAGGGCATCATGTCAGCTTGATAAGACACATTCACCCCACTCCAGACTCCACAGGTTCTGGGCTGCTATTTCACAGCTAAATAAACCAGAGCTTTCTAAAAATGAAACATCCATAATTATTTTCAGCAGAATCACAATTAAAAATCCTGGTACCTAGTAACATAATGCTGTTTCCAAAAATAATTACATAAATTACTTGAAAAAGGTGGATTGGGTACAGTCTGCTGCTGCTATGAGTTACTAAAAAAATGTTAATCATCTCCTTTTAGGATTTGAAAGCCTTTGTTTTTAAACTTTACTGTTAATTCACACAGAGAAGAAGAAAATGTTCAGTAGTCACACCTTTAAAAAAGCAGATCATAATGAATATATGTTAGTAACAAGATAGTTTACATCAGACATTTCTTAAACTGCATTGGTAAACTTAACATTCCTGTAGCAAATTAAAAGGAATTCTGTTGTATCATCAGTGGTTGAGGGACCAGATGAGCCAATATACTGCCCACAGCACCAAAATGTCTTTCATTTGCAATAATGAGAACAATCTTCCATTCCCATTAAAAAAGAAAAACAAAACAAAAAGCGTATCTGGCAGTCCTTCAAACATGCAAACCATTTTATTAAGTAATCTGTCTAGCACTGCATGTGGCATGTTGTACAAATTCAGTGTAACTGCCACACCTTCACCTTCCTCTTCCCTGTGCTTGTTGCACATGCTGATGCCTGATCCTCCTTCCCCTCCTACCAATCTACAAGCCAAGAAATTTTGTTCACTCACTTTCTCAAATGTCAGAGACTAACTCTGAATCAAACAAGTTCAGCTAGGTAAGAGTTACTGTTCCCTTTTTTCATAATGTCTTGAGAAATTAAAAATTCAACAAAGTTGACTGAGTCAAAGAGAATTGACTGTGTCATACTGGGTTAGAGAAAACAGACTGCAGTTCAGTTCTTAAATTGATCTTGCCCAGGGGTCTTTCCACACTTTTGTTGAAGCTACAACTCAAACACAAATCATCCCACCAATTCTCACTGCTCAAGTCATGTGCAAAGATAGTCATCTAAGTAACACCCATTGAGGAAAAGTATTTTATAGAAAACAAAGAAAGAATAAGGGGGGGGAAAATTTAAAAAAAAAAAAGAAAAAAATAAAAACCTCCACCCCGGGGCTCCTTTGCAGCAGCATCCTTTTTGGCAGAGGGCTCAAGAATTCAGCTTATTCCTTTTTAAATACATACAAAACTTTAATCATCAAAACACTGAAGAGAGAAGTGACACTTTATGCCGTAACATTTTAATGAAACACCTGAGCAAAAGCTGTTTCAGCTTCTTCTACTCCTCAACTTGATCATGAGAGCCACTTCCCTTCTTAAACCGTGCCTCTTGAATCACATCATTTAGTCACTGTACTTCATCATTTCTCAGACCAAGATATTTTCTGGAACAGCTGTTTTCCTTCAAACCACGCTAGCAGTATTCTTCAACAGTTTTCAGCATCCAAAATTCAGAATATTTGGGGTAAACCCAGGAATCAATGAAAAAATAATGGGACACAAAATGCTACCTTTGAAATAGGGAGTGTTTTATTTAACAAGACAGAAAAGATTAACAAACAACAACAACAAAAGAATCAATGACAACCTAAGTTTGTACTGTAAAATAAAATCTTCCTCTAACAACTAACTATTAAAATTTATTGAAACCAACCTAATCATTGTCACTTTATCTAAAGCTGAATTTTAGCTTGGATAGAAAGAAGTTTCAAGTTCAAAGTGATATACCATTTTAGCTGCATCTTTTGGGGAAAAAAAAAGGAAACAAACAAAGCAATCCACTAGCCTTATATGAAAAACCCACCTTCTATTTATATTACATTATTTTTATATGATCTAATAATTTTCAAAACAAAATTGTCTTGTCTAGTTTGCAGAGTAAAAAAAAAAAAAAAAAAAAAGCCAAAAGCCTGCTGAAAGAAACAGACATTATTTCCATCTTCATTTCAACTTTTCAAAACACAGAACATTATTACAAAGAATTGAAAAAAAAGTACAGCAGTCATCATCTCAGATTGATGCAGAAGTAAGAAAATACTGATGCAGAGTTTGGTTCCACTGGGGAAAAAAACCAAAAAAGAGTTGAAAAAAGCATTCTATCTTCAACTATTTAAAAAACAATACAAAATAAATTATTTCTTGTAAGGACAATGCTGGACAAGATACTCTTCTTGCAGACAACAGGAAGTTCAGAAATGCATTTTGTTCTGAATAACATTTCTGACATTTCACATATGCCAATATTGACTCATTTCTAGCATTCTGCATTGCTAAAATTTGAACATTATTTAGAAATGAGATGTGCTGAACCACTTGTAAAAGCAATTGAACTTATTTTTCATTAAAGAAGTCTTAATATTTTGAAAGAAACTACACCTTATGAGGAATTAAGTCTTTCCATATTTAACATTGTCATAGTTAACAATCTTACTGGTACTTTTCCAACAGCATATATGCTAGTGGAGAAAACCTTTATTTTATATTCAAATTATTCCATCTGCTTGACAACAATCTATTAGGTCATAAGACAACAAGAGAAAATGAACATAGATCTTTAGCTTTTGAGTTTTACTAACTCTTATGGGGAAAGAGTATTGCTTTATGATGAGCTCATATCTGGGAGAGCATTTAGTGACTGCATAAAAATGAATAATAAAAATACTGGCATATAAATAGGTCATGAAGCTTAAGATGTTCTTCTTGTATTAATCTTACTTAGATTTCTGGGCTTTAAAGTGGAATATCACAGAACTGACAGCAGAAAATGACTGTGGGCTGTTTACTACAACTGTAAGTTAAAGTTAAATCACAAAATAAAAGGATTACAGACTCAAACGGGGAAAAGCACTAGGTCAGGACTGCAATCTCTATTAATTAGGTATCCCAGCTGGACAGTGGGCATGCAGCTGTTAACTTGATCAATGACTTACCTAAATGTCATCTCTACTGATTCGCTTATAAATTACCAGCAAGTGAGACTAATGTACAGGTGCTAATTTATTTAAACTGTTCTCTGCAGTTCTACATAGCTTTATAAACTGCATCTGGCACCTAATGTTAGCTGTCAGTTGTACTTAGACATGCCTGTCCTAACGACTCTGTTCATTAGAAATGAGCACAAATTATGAAATATTGTGAAAAATGATACATCAAATGGAATGGGCAAAGCAAATCAATTAGAAAAACTTCATAGCACATATTCACACATAGGAGAATAAAACATCCTAGCTTCAGAGTCAGGTCTATAATACCAATTAAAAAGCAATTGGTAGACTTGTGCAGAGTTATATATCAATTTGCTGGATTTTTTTTTCTCCTCCAGAAATACTGTTGTAATACACAGCTTAACTTTTCATTCCTAAATAAAAGCATCAGTAAGAGGCAATTCTGCTTCCACAACATCCAGAGGATTAGCAAGTAAGTCAACTTATTTTCCCATTTAAAACTTTCACAATACCTAAAACTCCAGTGAAGGACAGAATCCTATGATGTCTACTTTTGAAATACACTGCAAAGACTGATTAACAGAAGACATGGAGGTATATAAGCACTCATCAGAAAGAATTATGGCTGCTCAAAATGTAAAGCTTGATAATTCTCCTGCCAGTGCTTAAGGAGCTTTTATATTTTTATAACAGAAATTTAATTATGCATAGCAGACACTATTACACACTAATTATTTCCCAACACCTGACAGAATATGGAGAAATCAAACATGTAGGGCAGACACTTGGTATCACCAAACAAAACACTACTCTTTTGGCTCCACTTCTCCATCTTTTCAGTAACAGAGTCTGCAAAGCAGTCCTATATTTGTCACCTTCACTGCATTTGTAAAATCTAATTTCCAGAGTGAGTCTGCTTTTATTAATGGTGGAGCTCAGTTAATTTTGTGCAAATGATCATAGTGCTATGGACTCACAAAGAAGAAACCACTACTTACACATGGCCATTTGGCATTTTTTGCAGTCTTGCTTTCTATAAGCCTTCTCTCTAGACCCTATCAAGGAAGGATGCCAGACTACAGACTAATGCATTCTCCTACCATTAACCTTTCAGACAAACTGAATTATCAGCATCATCACTGTACTGTATTAACATGGGAGGTATTCTGGTGATAGGTCTGTGCATGCTTACTGTAGTGGTTTGGACTTTGTTTTCCCCCCAGAGGCTAAGAAAAGTGGTAGACCCCAAGGGGTGGAAACCCCTGGAAGTTTTGAAATTCTGCCCAATGGGCGCTCCTGCAAAAATGTCAACATATCACAAGCTCACCGGAAGAGATGAGTTGTAGTTTTGGTTGAGGAGAGGTGGCCATGTTGTAGAGCCACGAGGAAGGGACTCTGAGCCCCTCGGGGCCTCTGGGGCCCCCCAGCCCCTGGCTGGGGGGGAGACTGCAAAGAGCTGGAACAGTGCTAGACTGGACTAAGTGTCTGTAGTTATGCCGGGAGATGTTTTCTCCATGGGCGCAGAGCAGCAGCCGACACTGACCAGAGAAACGGTGGCAGAGAGCCAGGATAGATAAGGACCTGAACCGGAGGAGCAGCAGAAGCAACATGCAGCACCGGAGAGAAGACTCCTGGAAGGAGAGCCGGGAAAAAGAGAGCCAGCAGCTGAGAGACAGAGTTCTGGGGGTAAGACTGTACCAGCCCCCCAAAACTCTCTTGAGACCCCTCTGAGAAAAGAGGGAGATGGACTCCTATTTAGGAGAAGAGTTTTAGACATGCAGCACCAGAGAGAGAGAGGAGCTGAGAAGCTCAGAGCGTCCTGGAGCTGGACCGGGATGGCCAGATGGAATGCGGGGGGAGTTGACCTTGGCTCCCCCCTCGCACTGCTGCCACGGTGGCAGCCTGAGAGACAGGGCACAGAGGCCCTGCAAAGAGTTTGAGTCTCCTGGAGATACCAGACCGTCATGAAGACCCCCCTGTGTCTTCGTGATATGACCGTGGTGAAACAACCTTGTCTGGGGTTACGAAGCCCACGGAAGACCCCTTTGCCTGCGTCAAGGGGGCCCAGGGAGCTTGGATACTTCCCTCGTGAGTGCTGGCAGAAAGCCAGCCACAGCTGCTGCATGTGGAGAGGACAGACAGATCGCTGCCTTAGAAGATGCTGCTGCTTAAGGACTGGAAGGGATCTGTCCTTCTTTCCCTCCTGGACTTTTGTTTGGAGGGGAGAAGAGATCTGATCCATTGTAAATACTATAAGTCATGGTAGAGATAGTTGTGATCGTGTGTATAATGTGATGTTATATTTATTTGTACAGTCATTGTAATATATTCCCTTTCCCCCACTTTGAGTCTGGTGTGTTTTGTCTGGAAAAACCCATCTCACATTAGGTTGAGATGTGGGAGGGGGCTTAGACTAGGGGATTGGATTTTGGGACTATCTCAAACCATGACACTTACTTTACAAGAAAGTAACTCAAAAAGACAAAGGTCATTAAAGGTAAGAAAAAACATTTGAAAAATACATGAGAAGAAAATTCTATAGTTTGCACAGAAATAAAAAACCCAGCCTGCTATTACTGCTGACCTCGATGAATATTTTGACTGTTGACCTTATCCACTCTGCACTGAGACTGGCAGGTCTCTGCCCTGCACTTGTTTGTAGAAGAGCAGAACAATACCTACAACTCTGAACGAAAGTAGACACAGTATCAGTGCGTAGCTTTGTACTCATTAAGCTTAATTTCCTAGGGATTTGTGACTTGAAATCAAGCTTCCTTTATGGATTTTCAGATACCTGATAAAACTCAAGTCTCTTTTCAGCCTTTTTCTCAACAAGCCACTAACTCTGTGTCTCTCTGCCTTGCTGCCTATTTTCAGAGTAGTTTTCAGAACTTAGTGTTGAAGCCACTCAAACATGTTTGAAATCAGCCTGTCTCACCATGTACAGATGTAGTTCTTTCTTGGAGTAAGAACACTGTCAAGACCTCTTACATGGACACAGCTGTGGAGATAGATTTTTGCCACCGAGATAGGTAACAAACGGCCTCCTCACCCTGAAAAAAACTAAACCATGGACACCTCTCTCTTTGCACTTGCCACAATAGTACACCTCTCCTAAGGGCCCTGCTGATACACTGAGCTGCCATGGCTAATAGTAGTAGTATTGTTGCTGTGCAAAGAAAACTTCAGCCACAAGACTTCATGCAGCTTCACCGAAGAGTGAATGTCACCAAATTACATTTCTCTTCCCTACCTCTGATGTGTGATAAAATAAGACAGAAATGACAGAAGTGAAGACCAGGTAGGACATAAAAGAAAAAGATCTATGCAACAAAACATTTTTCTGAGTGATAGGGAGCATATCTTTACATGCGGCTAAATGACAGAGAGAAAGAGGAGGCCACCCATCTGCCAGTCATGAGAGGGAATGACAATAAAATAGTATGTTTGTAGATACTGATATGAGCTTAAATTCATGTCTATATTCAAATCCTTAAGCTTAAACAGTGTGTTGGTTGTGAAATACCCTATAAAACTTAATTTACATTACCAGCACCCGCCATATCACACAAGAAAACTCTAAATATACACAGCAGGTCAAATTGTGGATAAACATTTTGAAATGCTACATAAACCTCTACAGTGCCTCTTATAACCTCAGATCAAAGGGATTATCCATTAGTACTTTTAAAAAGAACCTCATGTGCTTTAGCAAGATATAGCATACAGTTCCATACTGTGATGTCTGACCTCACATGGTAGCAGCGGTAGAATTTCTATTCACAGTCACAGTTGCAATGTATAGTAGCATTCTTCCTTATTCTGACAGTTTGATTAAAATTCACGGAGAGCTGAGGGGCTCATGCTGAAGTGAAGTGCTTTCAATATCTGAAACTCTACAGTAAATTACTTCTCCAACAGAGCATCTGTACTTACATCAATATCCTCTTGGGTAAAAGTTTCTGGATCTTCTCCCATCATGTTGGCTAAATGTCTCTTTCCTAGGTTGAACTCTTCAATCTGTTTTTTAATAAATGCTTCCGTGTACTTTTCAGGTCCTGAGGCTCCTACATTTTTTCTCTGCACTGCTGTAGTGGTATAGATCAGCCTTAACATCTGAAAAAATAAATAAAACAACAGTGAGACTTATTTTACATTTCTGGCATAGTGAGCTCTAAATAAAATGAATAAATGAATATAACAAGCTATTCATACCTATAACAAGATTCAACACATTACAGTAATAAGTGAGGAAAAGCAGCGTTACTCATTAAACCATTTTCTTCCAACAGTTTAACGTCCATAAACAGATAAAAATATTCTAAAAATTGCACATTTTCACACATTACAATTAGTTCAGATTTTTCTGATGGAAACAAATGTAGTATCCAATGTCAGGAACATTCGCAAAAGCAAAGGACAGCACTGATCAACAGATCCAGTCTTAAAAGAAAACAAAAATCCATCAGCAAATATGCAGGTTTTGCTTTCACCTAAAGGCCTCCCACAACAAAGTATGAAAAGAATATGTGGGGCAGTTCCCTAGTGGTATTTCAGAATATTTGGTCAGTATTTGGTCAGAAGCCACTGACCAAATACTGCTAAAGGCTCTGGAAAGGCCATGGAGTGGGCCATGGAGTGCTCCTTTCCTACTGGCAATGCCAGAATGGTTCTTAAACTACTTCACTGTCTCAAGTAGAATAATTAGAAAAACTAGCAGGGCAGTTCTCACCAGCACATACTACCGAGCACTCTACCAGCTCAGAGGCCAAAACTCAGGGGACAGATATCTTCAGATCTTCGCAGGATGCAGGTTTGGTCTTACTTCTTCCAAGACAATCAGTAGTTAAGATGACTAATTTCAATCGAGCTCTCTGTCAGAAAACAGGAGCTTCACTGACAGAGCTGTAATGTCCCAATTCTGGCCAAGTGCCAATATTATGCACTATTTTGGCTCGCCAACGTTAGTATTAAAGTCCTCTACAGCTTAATTATTTCACAAACTGAATGAGAACTGATTATTTGTGTGGTCTTCTGTGGGCGGGGGAGGGAGGGAATCACAAGAAAGAAGGCAGTGTGGGACAGAAAAGCAGAGACAGAAAAAGAATCACTTCTGATTCAGAAAAATGCCCAGTTCTGTTCATCAGATAGTACCCTGAAATGCTTCACTCCCGCCCTTTCAAAATCTGCTTTGTGAGCAGACAGTACAGTTTCACAAGGCAGAGAGAGCCCATCTCACAGTCCACCCCTGCCAGCATTCTTTCCTCCACTCCCTTCACTTGCCCAGTGCGAGCTCTGGCACTTGGACTCCTCTGCAAGCCAGCTCAGCTCCCTACATGTGGCAGAACACTAACTTCTGCTTCATCCCAAGAAGCGGGCAGCTCTCAGCTGAGCTGGTAAGTCTGAGCAGTTCAGAGAGGGCTCTGAGAATTGTCAAAGCTGGCACAAGAAGGTGGCTGAAACACACAACTGGGAGCAAGAAAGTAGAGGGGAGCCCTCTCTTTACCTTAATTTCTTTGAGTAAATTATTCAACTGCCCCTGCTGCTCCTGGAGCTGCCACCTCAATCTACTTGCCAAGTGTCTTGAGGGCAAGCCGTATGAAGAGCGGCTGAGGTCACTCGGTCTGTTCAGCCTGGAGAAGAGGAGACTAAGGGGAGACCTCATTGCAGTTACAACTTCCTTGTGAGGTGAAGAAGAGGGGCAGGCACTGATCTCTCTTCTGTGGTGACCAGTGACAGGACCTGAGGGAATGGTCTGAAGCTGTGTCAGGGGAGGTTTAGGTTGGATATTAGAAAGAAGTTTTTCACCCAGAGGGTGGTTGGGTACTGGAACAGGCTCCCCAGGGAAGTGGTCACAGCACCAAGGCTGAGAGAGTTCAAGGAGCATTTGGATGATACTCTCAGACACATGGTGTTACTCTTGGGGATGGTCCTGTGCGGGGCCAGGAGTTGGACTTGATAATCCTTGTGGGTCTCTTCCAATTCAGTATATTCTGTGATTCCGTGATACCTTCAGCCAAACATTAAAACCCAAACACACACACAGCAAAGTGAACTAATTAGGGTTCTGATTACAGGGAATAAAATAAACGTAGTATTTGAAATTATTAAATGTCCTCCAAGTCATGAGAACTGTCTTCTCCAGATCACAATTTAGACATGCTGAGCATTTTGATGGATTTCACCATTCTGAGTTAAGCTAATAAGAATAGAATAAAATACTTGCTACCTTCCTGTAACTAACACAAATATGACAGTAATCTCAAAACCCACTTATAACCACAAGTCTCATCAAAACAAGATTACATGGATATATTTGCAAGACAAACACAAAAGCAGATCAAACTTCCACCTTCTGTTAGTAATGCAGTCAGGTTACAGGAACTTTTCCTGTGACAAGAAGCTTTTGGTGTTCTGCATTACATGGTCAAGTCCTACATGAACAGGAAATGAAACACAGCTCTTGTCTGTACTTTCACAAAGCCCAGTTGGTATTTTGAGCACCTGGCAACTCAGGATGGACTGATCCAACTAACCCAATTTGCTACACATATGTAAAGCTATTCATGATCAATTTACACATCTATGACTGTCTCAGTCTTCAATAAACAAAATCTAACAACCCCACTTGCAATTTCAATTTGAAATTAAGACTACAATATCCTGCCTTAAACCTGTATATAGCACATGCCTGGGCTGCAGGATGGGTCCTATAAATTCAATCAGGTTTGATACAGAAGGTAAACTAATCTTTGAATAAGGTCACATAAGTCAGAAAGAACTGACCCTCTGCTTTTATAATCTGACAGAGATAACGATTTGTCCCCCAAGGTATGCACCTCAGGAAACTAACCAAAACTTCTGCCACAAAAGATTTAAGAACAGGTCCAAGGTAGAATTTGATTCTGAAGAGCCTGCTGTTGCTTCATTATCTCCACAGCTTATATATATATATCTCATATGTAATGCTAATCCTAGTTTGTCCCTTTTTCTTTTCTTTTTAATATTCATGTTTGCTGTGAGGTTACACTGACATATTCAGAATTAAAAGAAAAATAATCAAAATTTTAAATATACACATTTTCCACAGGCAAGGCTCTGATGATTTCCTTATAAAGCAATAAAAAAAGCAGAGGTATCTCCACGTATTCCCTATTCTTCTCTCCTAGTCACTCCTCAGGAAAGAATTCAATTCATCTTCTGTCTTACTTGTCTAAATAGTAACTAATTATTTGTAATTCTTGTTAATGAACATATGATTCCTTATTACTTGGCCCAAAATAGCTTTCTTGGCATGCTTTAAACAGAATACTTTAAAAAAGATTGCGTTCATCTTATTCCTGTCAATTTCTATTGTAATTTTCTCATTTTTGTCCTCCTTCCCTCAAGCTATTCATATTCTTCACTAGTTTCAATTCGTCACTAATCGAAAATCCCTGGACACACAAACTGTTCATAATTAGAAAACAGCCTCTTATGCAAATTAATATCTATTGTATTGGGTACCTCTTCTGGAATAAGAGCACTATTTCATGGGTGGCACAGGCAGGAACTGCAAAGCACAGCTAAATGCTTCTGGCATTTCAGTCATACAAGAAAGGGTGCTCCTCTACTTTGTAGAGGAAATCACAGAGGTTTGCATTCACTTCTTACACATTTCATAAAGCATTACTGCAGACAGCAGCCTCACCATTTTTAAAATAATAATAATAATAATAATGCTTATTAACAGTACTCCTGAAATAATACGCTCTTCCACCAAAAACAGGCTCTGTCTGTTTATTCATTCTGTTCATTTTGCTTCACCAGAGCTATATGGATATAAAACCCACACGTATCACTAACAGAGGAAATAAGCTTCCCGTACTTTAAGAATGAGAAGTGAATCAAAGTCAGGAGATTTAAATTCAAGAGCCAAAGTTGTCTGTTTTACAGCAAGACACAGTTACAGAGATAGAAGACAATGCTACATGATGTGGCAGACACATGGTCCCACCATTTTCATGATTCTTCCATGCTCTAAGCTGGCAGACTTCAACCACCTCCTTTTCCAAAACCACACAGTGCACAAACAAATTCACACTAAAAAGTTATCTCCAGGATAGGACTTCAGTAAGACATGTGGAACTGTATAACCACATCAGCACGCAGGACTAAAGTTGTTCCAATTGGTCTAAAGCTGTCCAATGTTCCAATTACTGGCACAGCCAGTGTTACTGAACCCAGTAGACATGCAAGACACCAACAACAGTCCTCTGATCACTTGTACAAGAAAAACATGTTATGTAGCAATCATACAGAATATAAATGCTCAGAGCCATCCATCCCAGTTTCTAAAAAATTGCTTTTTGCTCAATAGGCAAGTGTTGCATTTTTAGTGTGCTGTTTCACAAAAATGTGTTTTAATTGCTTTACTTAAAAAAAACATTTATATAATCTCAGATTTCAGTTGGCCCACAAACTAATTATTTGGACCAGTATCAAGTTTATGTTTCAGAAGCATTTTGCAAAACACATTAGAAAGTATCACAAGTATGCACATATGCATAAGTGATTTTATATTCCTTTTTATATCAAATTTCACAAAGTATTTCATCAGAAGAAACTTTTTTTTTCCAAATTAAGTCCTTTGACAGGCAACTATAAAACTGTATCTCACCCCTCCAGAAGACTTACTTTCTGTGCGTGTTAGACCAAACCCACATATTAAGTTTTCTGGTACACTGGGGAAACAAAATAGCTCTAAATATATAGATATATGGCAAGTATTGGATGTGCATAATGGGGAAGAGAATTTATATCTGATTGTTTTGAGCCACAAGTTTTCAAGTAGTAACAGGCTTTTCAACTCTACCTTAGTTAACAACTGCAAAAAAGGCTTCTCCATTTCAAGCATGCAGTTCTGAAAGACTGCCATCAAAGAAATATCTCTTTCTGATATCAGCACATATACCATCCACAGTGATTTAGATAAAGTACTCAACCTAATCAAATTCAACAGGATGTATGGCACTCTGAACCCTTCTGCTGAAAACAAATATTCAATTACTTCAGAATCAACTGATAGTAACTAAGCTAGATCCTTTTTTCTTTATAAATTGTACTAAATCTCTGCAGTTTGCTTATTAGAAGAGTAGAAAACTAAACCTGTTGCTCAGTCAAGGCTAAGGAAACTGGAATTACAAAGTTTCTCTTCCATTTCTTCTCTCAATGCAAGACACTTTAAAATTAAAAAAAAAACAAACAAAAAAAACAAAAACAAAAACAAAAAAAAACAAACAAACAAACAAAAAAACCAAAAAACAAAACAAACAAGAAATTAAAATTTCCCCCCCACTAAGAGAGACAAGAAGTAATGAACTAAAACTACTGTGAGGGATTTTCAGGGCAAGCACCACAAAAAAGTTTCTGAACAGTAAGGACAGATAAGTTTTTGATGTAAGAAATTGTTACAGGCCAGAACAAGGATACATCAACTTACTACCCTGTCCTCCACAGCAGTCTGTATCAGAGCACAGAGACAGGATAAACAGGCAGCGATAATTTTCCCAAGGCACTTGCCTAGTTTCCAGCGATCTGCAGTTCAGACGTGCTGATATCTTGTTTTTAATGATCCTCAGTGGAATCTTCTTCTGAGTTTCTCAACTTGCTTTTTGTATTCACATAAATGCTTAATATCCTGAATATCCTCACCAAACAGTTTCACACGTTAACTGCACCCACTGGAAAGAAGAATGTCTAAGTTTTCTGGGCCCTGTCTCCCATTAATTCCCTTCATATCCTTTGGTTCACAGACAGCTAGAAAATCTGTATATAGCTATAGGCTATCCTGTACTGATCCTATCTCTGGTGGCAAGAGGAGCAGACAAATGATCCCTCAAGGCCCCTTCCAGCCCTACCTTCTACAGTGACTCGTCCTTTGAGATCATTTCCTCATTTACAATACAAATCGTTTTCAGCTCAAACTCAGGCATGTGCCTGGCCAGAAAAACCAAGTTACTGTCATAATCATACCTTTGATATAGGATAACTAAAGCAACACAAACTATTCAAACTGAGAATGAAATTGAGCATTAGAGTATTTTCAGTCTTACTCTCTTTGTCCTTCCCTCCACACCTTAAGCGCATGTACTCCTGACTGCTGCATAAAGAACTACCCACAGGGGCACCAGGCCTTCACCCCTAATGGGTAAAGTTAATCTAGAAGTAACCAATATAAACAGTTCAAATTGCTCCTTCCGGTATTACCTTTCATTTCCTTACTGCATCTATCTTCTGTTACTGCATAGTTTGGTTTAGTTCAGTCACGAACAGTTCTTCAGCCCTTATTATCCTAAATTACTTTGTAACTTGAAAGTGTTACCAGCAGGCCTTTTTATCTACTTGCTGGTCACCGATTAAATATATATACCGGTGTATCAAATACCCCTGCACAAACAATACTGACAGCAGCTAAGCTTTTTAATTAAATGGCAATCAGCTGAACACCGGTACCTCTCAAAACAAAGTGATCCTGTTTAATCAGGAGTTACCGCACTTGTGGAGCACATTTGTCTCTCCACTGCAGACATTCAGAGAGGTGCCCTGAGCAACCCGGTCTAACGGGACATGTCTCTGTCCATGCCAGGGGGGTTGGAACTAGATGGTCTTTAAGGTCCCTTCCAACCCAAAGCTTTATGTGGTTCTATGATTCATTATCTACTCACATGCTGCCCGAACACCATTCACAGAATAGTTAGGATTGGAAGGGACCTATGGATATCATCTGGTCCAACTTCCCTGCCAAAGCAGGGTCACCTGAAGCAGGTGACACAGGAATGCATCCAGGTGGGTTTGGAATGTCTCCAAGGAGGGAGATTCCACGACCTCCTGGGCAGCCCGTTCCAGTGCCACTCTGCCACTCTCAAGGCAAAAAAGCTCTTCCTCATGTTCAGGTGGAACTTGTGTTTTAGTTTGTCATTCAGAATTATGGACCTAAAAATTGCCATCTTAAAAGTACTTCAGTGCTGCCTTCGCTCTATACACGCCTCTGTTAATTCTAGCGAGATACACATAATAAATCACGGCTTAACCACGCTGCTTCTGCTTCACATCAAGGAAAACAAGTTCGGCACTCGACACTCCCCGCCCCAGCGCTGCCGCAGCCCCGGGGCACAGGCAGCACCAGTGGGGCCCAACCGGGGCCTCCCACGCGATGTCACCGCGGCCGAGACAGCCCGGCAGGGACGGCAGGGACGGCCGGGCCGGGGACGCGAACCCGCGACCCCCACCGACCCCTCCCGCGTGCGCCCTGCTCTCACCTGCGCGCGCGGCCCCGCGCCCCACCGCCGGCACAGCCGGAACACGCGCCCCGCGGCCGCCGCCATGACCGCGCAGCTCCGCCCTCCCATTGGCGGGCGGGGCCAGAGCTGCGCCTGCGCGTTGCCCCCCCCGCTCACCCAGCCGGACCGCGGCCGAGGCCGTGGCAAAGGCAGAGTTACGAGTGGGTGTGTAAAATCGCATCGGAGTTACTGATTTCACCCCAACACTGTTTATTTGGATGTTTCAGGGTGTTTGGTTTTTTTCTCCATGGAAAAAAAAAATCACAGAATCAGAGAATCAGTTAGGTTGGAAAACACCTCCGGGATCATCGAGTCCAACCAATGACTGAACACCACCGTGTCAACCAAACCATGGCACTCAGTGCCACGTCCAGTCTTTCCTTAAACACCTCCTGGGACGGTGACTCCACCACCTCCCTGGGCAGCCAATTACAATGTCTCATCACCCTTTCTGTGAAGAAATTCCTCCTAATGTTCAACCTAAACCTCTGCTGGCCCTGTTGAAGACTTATGTCCTCTTGTCCTGTTGGTAGCTGCGTGGAAGAAGAGACCAACCCCCACGTGGCTACAACCTCCTGTCAGGTACTTGTAGAGAGTGATAAGGCCACACCTGAGTCTCCTTTTCTCTAGGGGGAGAACAACCCCAGCTGCATCAGCTGCTTCTCACAGGACTTGTGCTCCAGACCTTTCACCAGCTCCATTGCCCTTCTCTGGATAACATTTAGAGATGCAGCAGTTGGTCTTGCTGAGGGGAGGTCAGTGTTATTACTGTCACCTCCCAGGGTGATGTTAATCTAGACACTGAACCTTGAGAGCCTGAGAATGTTCCTCGTTTCCCCAAGTTACATAGGATACACCCTTACAGGTGAACGGATTTTGTCAATTGTGTTTTCTACCACAGGAAAAGTGAAAATTAATTAAAAACTGAGTTTTAAAAAGTTCTACTTTAGACTTACTGGGATCTTCTTTTTAGAAGCAGTTACTATTTAGGAGGAAATTCTGGAAGTGAATCTCTGCTTTTCCAGGTTTATTTTTCTGTTTAGTTTTTCACAGTGGTCCTTGCTTCCCCCCACACAGACAAAAGTATAATTTCCCCCTGGGATATAAAAGAGGTTATAAGAAAACTGGCCATGGGCAAGGGAAGTCATCCATGCAGGGAGGTCAAGAAGAAGCTGCCTGGAAAGGTGCATTTATTCTTGCAATTGCCAACTGTGAAAATGAAAATGTCAGTGGTTTTACTGACAGGGATACACTCAAATGATAGCAATGAACATTGCACCAGAGGAGAGCAGTGACGTGTCTCCTGTGCACACCTGGCCAAGCACTGGGAACTGCAGCTGTGCTCTCGTTCACAGCATACGTAGGGATGGCATTTGGTTACCAACTGTTTCTCCAAAAGAGAAAAAGGGGGTTGGGTCACGGTCACAGTCCCACTGACCCATCTCCTGAAGCAACCAACAGAGCTGAAGGGGTGGAGAATGCCAGCAATGGGTACAGCCTTTTCAAGGCCCGTGGTGAATCTCATCTGCCATCTGTCACCCTGCAGCTTGGCTTTGTTCAGCAGCAGAGGAGCTCCTCGGTCCTCACTGCGCTGAGCAATTGTTAACTCTCACCCGTCGGCTCTACCAAAACAAAGCGCCACTGGGTGAAGGTTTTTTATTTGCTACATGTAATTAATTGTAAATTAAATTTAAGGAGCAGGCCATCTATAAAGTATTGTCCACTTGTACTTGGAAGTTAATTGATGTAAATTCGACGCCCTTGACTTCCTACGTGTGTCTACTCCCATGCCCACTGTGAAAAAATCCTGAATGCTTTTGCAGTCTGGAGCATGATTTCAAAGATATTGGGGTTCATACAGTCCAACTGGAGGTTATAGAATTGTTCTTGCATATTGCTGAATGAAGACCTTGGTGTATGTGGAGTCCAGCAATTAAAGACAGGGACCATGTTGTGTCTCTCTTTGATCCTTACAGCTGTCAGCCCTTATAAATTAATGGCTGCCCCTTCAAGGTGCAAGATTTTTACAAAGATTTCAGGTTTATTTCCCAAGAATCCTGCTGCTGCCAAAAAGCTTACCTGGGCTTGCTTGCCCCTGGAAGACACTTGTACAGAGATGCCTGAGTGAGTAGTTTCTAGACTGATTGGGAGTGCATGTAGTTGGGATGCTTTGAAGGAAATGTATTTCTGTGGTGGCCACAGCCAGTATGTTTCAGAAAGATTCCTTCTAATGGAAGGATTGCTACTTCTGCACAAATGGCAGGAGTCTGGGTTCGCCAGTTCAAAATCAGTTTTTTGCACAAACCAAAGTAGGATAAAAATGAGCAGAGGTTATTTACATGCTTAGCCACCTACACCCCATCCCTCTGTCAAAAGTTTGTTGAGACAGAGGTAGAGGGAAATGCAAGAAAGCCATGTTTAATCTACTTATTCCAGGATTAACTCCAAAGGGCTTCTCTTTCTGTCTCTGCATTTAGTTGACAGACCGTAGGTGCTTACCTAATCCATGTAAACTACCCCAATACTTTGCTAAGCACTCTGAGGAACTTTAGTCAGTTGTGTGGCAGGATGTCCTTTTTGAGCCCAACTCTGGAGACCTGTTCCAGTTGTAAACCTGGTTGCCCATTTCCTCATGTAGATTGCTAATCATGGTCTATGCAATGACAGAACTGGGGACTGTTGCCTACATCACATTACCTGCTTTTGTTTTTAGACTTGGGTAATGAGGGTAAGCATATGATTTGGGATGATAAAAGCTTTGGAGTACTGTCTTTGAGGGATGGCCTGACATTAATAAAATGGTGCCTTTGTGTGGGGCTTGAGGTTTCTGAAATGAAAAATCACTGAATGCGAAATGAGGAAACCAGGCTGAGCCTGTCACATGCGTGGGTCAGGGGAGAGCCTGAGGGACACATCTGTAGTATGTGCAAATTCCTGAGCACAAACCTAAGGCTGAGCTTCAGTCCAAAGTTGCCGATTGCTTACATTACCATCCTACATGCAGACAGTCCTGAAGTGAGATTCAGGGTGTTCTTTTGCAGTAGATAGCATGAGTTCAGATTGCTGGTATAGGTAGCATGAAAACCAGTTGGTTGAGGAAGAGGGGTGTCCCTGTGACAGCGATGGAGATGTGTGGCTGTCCAGCTTACTGCCTCATGCAGTCGAAAAGAGGGCAAGAATGGCAGTACTGGGTCAGACCAAAGGTCCATTGAGCCTGATGGCTTCCCTTTGCCAGTGACAGATGCTTACAGAAGAGTATAAAGACAGGGCAGGTACACAGAGATACTTCCCTGATAAAGTCTTCTGACTGGTAATGAGCCGAAGACCATATCTTAGGCTTACATATAAAAGAAACTCATGCAGGAGAAGAGGTCAGAACATGATGGAGGATGTAGCAGGATCTTCTGCCTTGCAACAGAACAAGCTAACCTGCAGCAGAGATGGTGGGACTTCATGCATCAGAAGACAAAGCAAATAGTTGTAGGAGAGTTAAAACTTCACAAGATTCCCTAATCCAAATCCATTTCTGAAGAAATGCCTAAATTTTTTAAGTTTTCTCTACAGATAAATAAAAGAATAGATTTGTTTAGGAATTCTGAACTAAAGTTATTCTTCTTATAAACTATCTTCTATTCTCTTTCCCATCTTAAGCTGTAAGTACTTTGGCTGAAGTTCCGGGGCACATGTGTCAAAAGGGACATCAATCACCAGTGCTTGTCTAGGGGCTGAATGGTTGGGTGGCAGAGTCTGAGGATGTTAAGAGTATCTGCATGCCAAGAACGTTTCTCAGGGCCTAACCAGGAGCACTTTCTGGATTTTCTTTAGACCCAAGGAAGTTTAGGAACACCCAGGTCCAGTGTTGAACAAAAAATTGGAATTCTTGGCTAGGGAGAGCACTGGAGAAGGATGGCTTGACAGAATGCTTTGCGTTTCAGAAGCTGATCAGTATGTGTTAGAAAAAAAAATTTTGTTTTTTTTTGTCTGCAATACTGCAGACAATTCAGCAGTATTTTAACTCTGTTCTAGTTAAGTAATTTCCGGATATTTTATGACGTGTGTGCTTTTTGACACAGAAATTGTTTTGCATCGATCTTCTTCATCACTATTGAAAGGCTTGAGGCTGATATATCCAGAAGTCATGTTTTCTTTAATGCAAACACATAAATTCTACTTTAAAGGGCTATTAATAAGAACAACTACTTCATTGCACCTACTTTTCTTCAAATGTGGAACGAGCACACTTCATTTCATAGACTGCATACACCAGCTACCTAAGGGTTGTCAATTATGTTACACTATAAAAGGCACAGCACTTAGGGGGCTGTCAATCAAGTCTGTTGTGAGAGAGATTTCAAGAATCATTATTCCAACACTATTTATCAAATATAAAAATAAAGAAAATTTACATAACAACAATACAGAGGCATCATATTTCATTTTATAGTGAAAGTGGTTTGGATTGAGCAAAAAATTAGTAAAGGTGAATCAAAAATAGCCAGAGATCTTTGCTTGTAAAGCAGTGCCTTCTGTTTTGTTCTTTACCACAGCTTTCCTTCTCCATGAAAGAAGGTGTTACACAGATTTTCACAGTATTATGGATCACATCTCTTTCATCTTTTCTTCACAGTCTGAGGGGTGCTAGTTTATTGGGTTTTTTCCCCCACCACAGCTTATGGGTATCATTGAGCACTGCAAGGCATTTTGGGGAACATTCTTTTCTGCGGTATTATGTTCCAGCTCTGCCATAATTTATGTGCTTGAGTAGACCCCACTGAATTTCTAACCGGTTTTCAGAAAGAAAGAGGACTTGTGTGGATGTAATTTGGAGGCATCTGAAGATAGTTTTATAGCACATGAATGCAAGAGTCAGCCCAAAGAGATCCAAACATAGTGTCTGGGCCTATTGTTAGTTGGCAAGTGCTTTTAGAGTATGTAATGTGTCTTTGTCATTTGTCTACCATACACTTTGCCTCCATATGTTTATCACTATTGCTATTGCTGATTCAGTATTTCAATAATAG